TTTCACTCCTCCTATTTATAATTTCTTTTCCGTAATTCTTTATGTTAAAAAATATATATGTAATAAAATATATATATATATATATATATATATATCTTTTTGCTGCTAGTAATATAAGTGCTTAAAAGTCTACCCTTGCTAAATATCTGGATTTTGCAGTTCCTGTCAATGAAGCTTGAAGCATTGAATTCAAGAATTACTCCTGGTATTGAAGTATTTCCTCCTAAAGATGTAAGTCCTAATTATGTTATTCATTATGTACTCCTCTGATTTTTGTTTCCTTTAACCTAATTTTTGGCATGTTCATTGTGATATATAGCAAGCAGTGTCTCTTTTTCTAGATTGAATTTTACATATGTGAACTACCATGAAGTCACAAAGAGGCTTATTGCATATGTCTCTTTTTCTAGATTCAATTTTGCTAAAAATATCTATCTCTTTGATGGAAAGTCTTCTTTCATGAATTTCCATATTTATGAGATATGAAGTCACAGAGGCTTATTGCAAATCCAATGTGCTCTTAATCTTACTTTCCTTGTAGATCAGATCACTAGCAGATCCGGTTTTCCATTGTAATTAACTAGACTATATGTGACTTTGGATAAGGTTTGTCCGTGATAGTGGACCAAAATGTCATAATCTTGAGGTTTGTCCATGATAGTGGACCAAAATGTCATAATCTTGATATTTTCTGGGCCTCATCCAAGTGCTTTTGTTTCTCTGACTCTTTTCAGCATTTGCTTGATTTTTTATCAAACCACAATTGACTAGCTTGTATTGCAAACCATGTTATGGGAAGTGTTTGATGAATCACCTACTTTCATTTTTTTCCCTTCTCAAGTATCAACTTAGCTTAGAAAGAACATAACTACCTCTCACCCCCTTTCATGGCCCTTAGGCTAAGATCAAGTAGATTTGTTTATGAAACCGGCCCCATATATATTCTTCTATGTGAGTTTGCTTCTTCTTGAGGTTGTGAAGTCTGAATTTCTTTTGTTGCTTTGTCATGCAAACAAAGTTCTTATTTATGCAATATGCATATTTGTACATTTTTGGTGAATAATGGTAAGCAAAGACAATACTCTTTTTTCATTCTTCTCGATTTACATTTGTTTTCACAATCAATTGGGTGTGGTATTTCAGTATGGCCAGCAAACATTTGACCCTTCGGGCATGGCATACGGTTCACAAGCTACAAGGGAATACAGCCGCAACGCTCCACCAGAGTGGCTGCATATGCAGATTGGTGGTGGTTGTGAAAGAACAACATAATATAATCTATAAAATCCCACATGAATTGAAAATAAGAGCATTTAAGTGGCAATGCTTCCTGCTGCAGTAGCTGTTAAAAAAGAGTATACCCCATTATGGTAAAATCAAAAGAGACCTATATTTCCAGTTTCAACATCAGGCATGGAGCTGTTATTGCTGTCTAAAGACTGAAAAAGTTAGTATTTTGAACATCTCCATCTGTCGTGTTGGAAATTGAAATATTTTACGCCATATATCTTGTTCACATAGCAGGCTTCAGGTTTCTACTTTGTAGTAATACCCAAATGGATTGTAGTAGAATGATTATTGTGCTTGTTCAGAATTGCTAATCCGCACATGTTGTGTCAACTTTGTTTTAACATTGGGTTTGTTAAGAGACTGAAGCTGTGATCAATAAGTAAGGCAGTTTACTTACTCTTTTCTCCATTATTCATGAGCTGCTCTGTTCTATATACATACGATACCTTTAATTAGTATCAATTGTCATATTTGTATTTTCTCAACACATTTGCATACCGACGAACATCGAACGTAATACTCAAAAGAAGCAACACCTATTGTTCCATGAGAAATGCTAAAAACAGGGTGAAATGCACCCTTTGAATAATAAGATTATATTACTGGCTCTGTCCTGAACTGTTCCCATTCCACTGGGAATATGAAATACTTACCCAGATCATCCGGAGGAGCAGAGTCACCGCAAATACAGTGCTGCCGACGGTGCGTATATTATGCCTGTATTCAAAGTCACTGTTATTTCAGTTGCTTCTACTTTCTTCCTTGGAACAAAAAAGCTTTAGATAATCTAGAAACAATAAAATCAGTGACTAAATCAAGTCTAGTTAGTTTTTTTCAGAGTATTGATTCTCAAAGCTTTAATAAGAAACAAAAAGGAGTGGTTTTAAATACAGATTAGATGCCATGGATATGCCTCAAGGAATGCTTTGACACTAATGGGAAGTGACGCCAGCAGCAGGATCCCATCCACTGCAAAAAGACATCATGAATTCTCTCTGTCTGATATAACAATTTAAATTATTTATAAATAATTTAATTTAATTTAATAAATAAATTTTGTTTGAATTAATAATAATAATTACGGTCAATAATTAAATTTAAAAAACCGTTAACGGTTAGTTTCACTGTACCCCTAAAACAACGAGAAAATTTGAGGCATTGGATTAATAGTTATGGACAGTCAAGATGCTAGAAACTTCCAGGTGTGAATACTACACCCAGATATAAAAAAAGAAAAAGAAGAAGGAAAAGAAAAGGAAAAAGAAATTGCTACCTCACAAATAACCGATTGAAGGCAAAAAAAAAAAAAAAAAAAAAAAAAAAAA